ACTCCACTACAAAACGGGAGATGCGCGAAGGACGAGCTGGCGTGTGGCAGAGCCGGCCCCCGCGAGCATGTGTGGACAGGAGCAGGCGAGGCTCAGGACGGGGGACGAGGGGGGCGCTCCGCTTCAGAGGCTTCGTGTCACTCACACGTGCATTCCAAAAGCAAACCATAGCAAGTTATCTGTATACTAAAAAAGCTATATACTCCCAAAAAAAACTGTAAGACTTTGAGAAGGTTGCAAAGAAGTGAAATTAAAGTATCAATTTATCGTAGTGTAAAAAATTCTAAATCCATGTAGAACTTCTCCATAATATGCATTTTCCGTGAACTTTGTGTGTTTTTTAAAATTATTTAACTTTATCTGTTACTTTTATTATTATTGTTTAAATTTGCTATAGGGTATGTGTGCTCACCAGAGACAGGGAGAAAGAGGAAGTGAGAAAGTGTGTCACCAGGTCCGGGACTCGAACCACGCTGGGTGATGTAGGAGTCTAGCTCCTTCACCACCAGGCCCCGTGCCGGCCCCGTGGGTGTGTGTGTGTGTGCACGCGCGCGCGAGAGTGTGTGCGTTCGTTTCCCAGAGTGCTGACCACACAGGAAGGTTCCAGATTTGCCTCCAGAAAGCTCCCTGAACAACACGCGTGTGCGTGAGCAGGGTCAGCTAAAGCCAGGGGTGGACTGAGCAGGAGGCCCCTCTGGGGCTGCCCTCTCCTTCTCCACCTTCCACTTAGAGGAGAAATAAGTGAACTGAAAGAAGGTGACAATGAGGAAATGAACGTGACAGCTGTGCAGTGGTGGGGCCCGCCCGGACGCGTGCACCACAGCCCCGGCAACGCTCGCTGTCGCTTGGAGTAAAAGGAAGAGACGATTTTCTTCTCATTTATGCAATTCTAGGGAGTCTTTAAGAAACCGTGGCGGGGCCGGCCCATGGCACGGTGGTTAAAGCAGCTGGGCCCCACAAGGACGGGTGCACGGTCTGGGTCCCGACCCAGAGGCTTGAAAACCGTGCCAGGTGTGGGCTGTGCGTGCCCCAAGTCCTGACGGAACAGAGGTGGAGGAGGAGAGCCTGCACTGTGACCGTGCCCCACGGGGAGCGCTCACACTCTGTCCCTTCTACGCATCGCTGTGTCCCTCTCGGCCAAGCACACATGCCCCTCTGGCAAAATCAAAACATGAGGATTTTTTTATTCTTTTTTTTTTTTTTGCGAGGTTTTTTGCTGTAGGGCATATGCGCTCGCCAGAAAGACGGAGAGAGACAGAAAGCAAGAAATAACCGCCCAGGAGGGATGGTCACGCTGCAATCCCTTCTCCATTCTCCTCTCGGGATCTGGGGCACACACACACATGTGCCTGGCGTGAGTTTAAGCCACTGGGTCCGGGACTCGAACCGCAGTCAACTACATGGGAGTCCAGCGACATAGCCATTACG